ATATATAAAAAGTTTAAAAGAAATGCACAAAAAACCCTAAAAAGAATAAGAAAAAGAATAAGAAAACAAAACTGAGATAAAAGCAAAACAAACAAGCACAACCAAGTGACACAGATTAACTAAACAAATTGTATGCTGTTATTGGACACCTCTGAAACCAAAAAGAAAACCATGAGACTAAATTTTCTTTATGCTGAATTTGTTTCATTGTGTTTGCATTTTATGTGCAACAAGGGACTTTTTTATAAAACAAGAAACCTGCTGGAAGAAACCAGAGTCTGTTAGCCTGCATAAAAGTTTCTTTTCACCTGATTCTCTATGCATGTGAATGAAGAAAAATGCAGTTAGAGCACTTTTATACTTCGAGGTAGCAATTAAGATGTTCCTGGCAAGGATTTTGCTTTAGGAACTTTATTTTGAACTCCTTATTAACTGCATTATTGGTTCACGGGAGGATTAAAATTCTCAGCAGGTGATGCTGAAACTAAAGGAACACACACGCGCACACACACACACACACACACACGTGCACAGACACACGCGCAGACACGCGCACACACACACACACAGCGTTCAGTCCAATGACACTCTGAGCAGACACTGAGCATACAGTCAGACCATGTTTCCACCTGAGAGCTGAACAATGATGTAATATAGAACCTGTCCATTTTCATAAATAGTACATTGTGCACTGTTTGTATGTTTTATTTTTTGAGAAAATATTTTAACCTTTAAAGTCATTTCATTTAGGATTTTTCTGCAATCATAGAATATAACAAATAGCAGTTATTTTAAAATATAACAATGAAAATTCATGCATGCAAATGCATGAAATATATGTAAAACATTTATTGTTTTATATTTTTGAGAACAGATTTTAGCATTAAAAGTCATGAAATCCTTTGATTGTATAAAAACCCTTAATTTAATAAGAAACACCAGTTATTTTAACACATAATAAAAAAAAAACATGCAAATGCATGCAATATTTATAAAAAAAAATACTGGAATCATTTATTGTTTTATATTTTTGAGAACATATTTTAATTCAAGGTTTTTATGCAATCACTGAATTTGATATAACAACCAGCAGTCATTTTAATACAACAATGAAAATTCATAATATTTCATGCAAATGCATGCAATATTTGTAAATAAAATAATTTTATTGCAGATAGATGAAATAAAGTAGCACTCATATTTCTAATTGAAGCTTAGACAGTAGATCATGGTGCTTGCAACACCTAAGTCATGGGTTCGATTCCCAGGGAATGCATGAACTCATATGAACATCTTAAATGGAGTGTGAGTTGCTTTAGATTAAAGCATCTACCAAATGCACAAATGTGAATGTTTATTTGGTAGAAACATGCATAACGAAGCCAGATTGAGAAGCAGCTCCAGCATCATGTCAGTGGATATTGTTTCCCGTTAAATGCATTATTATAAGTAACATCATTATGCAAATTCTAAATACCTTTTTCTTGCGTTGTCCTGCGCGTACAGCTGGAGGGTCGTTCCACCCGTCCTGAACTGAAGAGACAATATTCACACAATCACAGCGGATCAGTCACCAAAACATATATCTGCATTTAAATATAAATGCATGCATCAATACAGCAGCAGATAAACATATCTGGACACTCAAGTCACAGTTAGAAATGTCTGAATGTCACTGCATCTTTACAGACGTTTGTGAGGGTGATTTAAGTGTCTCTGTAGCTTCTCTTTCTGTCTGACTTACACTAGCATTCAGAAGTTTAGGGGTCAGTCAGATTCAGCAAGATTTATAATACAAAATATTTCTATTTCAAATAAATGCTTTTCTTTTGAACTTCCTATTTATCTGTGAATCCACAAAAATATTGTGCAGCACAACTGTGTTCAAAATTGATAATAATCAGAAATGCTTCTTGAGCAGCAAATCAGAATATTAGAATGATTTCTGAAGATCATGTGACACTGAAGACTAGAGTAATGATGCTGAAAATACAGCTTTGATCACAGAAATAAATTACATCTAAACATTAGTGTAGACATTTCTTAGTCTGTTTATATAATGCAAAACTCACACAGCATAGTTTTAATCAGCATTGAGCGATCACACAAACATTAACAATGAAGCTCAGAGAGATGTGCGACATGATCAGTGTGCGAATATGCAAATGACTCGTAATCAGTCACCATTAAATATTAGAAGAGCTGAGTTTGGACCGTTGCTGTCCCTCTTAAACACACACACACACACACAGACACACACACACACGATATTTCTGCATTGAACAGTATAAACACTAAAACTGCCCCCTAAAAGTCTACTAACCGTTAGTCGATGAGAAGAGGCCTGGTCGACCAAAATTGTATTAGTCGCTTATTTGCAGAAAAATAAATAAATAAATAAAAATCCACATTGGCGAAGTCACACAGATTGTTAACGACTGGTCTGTGGTAATAATACAGAACATCAGGCAGGACATCCAAACGCTCCAAAAGCAAATGAAAACTTATCTATAGAGAGCGAAATGTCTACTTTCAGATGAACCAAATCAAATGGAAACCAAATATTCTCAGATTATGTAATCCGTATGAAACAGGCGCGTCACTACTGCGGAGACGACGAGTCAGTGTCGCCGAATTCATCTCTAAAGTCGAAAACAAAGAAAGCACTTGTTTATCAATATATTATTAAAATGTTAATGCAGCCTTCTTACTGTTTTTCCCTGACACATTCATAATCATTACTTCTGCCGGTGCGCTGCGGCAAGCTTTATGCGTGTGCTTGAGCGCTTATAAGGCTGTGTAGGCAATTAAAGGCGCATTATGATGATTTAAATGGTTTATTAATAAACGTGCGATTAGTCGACTAATGCTTAAAAT